GGTATGCAGTACATCGAATGCACTAAAAACACTGTAGCAACAGTGTAGCGATTGTATGGAAACGAAGCTTTACTTGCAATTAACGGTATGAAATGTGGCTCATGTCAATAAACTGATAAATCATTCATACGACATGCGAGGGATATTAGCATTTGCCAAATATTTGTTTTTCAAATAATTAGAAATTACTGAGCAGATGAAAGTCCCTTACTTGCAGAAATCCTCATATATCATTCCATAAACCGTTACTTTCTTACAGACATCAAGTGCAAATAGCATACTATTCCAACCAGTGGTTAACCATGTGTTGGTTTCTTTTCTGAATTGAATACAAAAAATTATGATGATTAAACTCCAATTTTGAAACAGCACTTAATGATATAATATAATATAAATCATGAAAGGTACATATACAGTGTTTAACCTTTGATGATTTATATTATATTTATTCAACAGTGTTAACAGAAACTCCCTTCAATGATATAATATAATTACTGAGCTTACAATGCATTTAGTATATAAATCATAATATTATAATATATTAATTTCCACACTTTAACTTAATTAAATATGTGGCAAAGACAAGCCAAACCAGTCACTCATCGCAAAAATAGATTTTGAGTTATTAATACAGGGTTAGAGAGTAAAATAATAGCTATAAAATGGTAAAAAATCGTTCAAATCCAATATTTCCTTATGAAGTTACAAGCATTTAAGCGTGCAGCTGTTTGAAGAACAATATATGAGAAATCAGCCTTCAAAGTTTATGATTTCAGGCATTTCTCATGCAGAAACTATCATAAAATCATTAAAAAGTGTTGTTTTAACATTGAAATTGAGAAAAATAACAGCACAGCATGATGTACAGATACATAAACCTTAGTTTAGTGAAATAAAATAGATTAAAAAAATTTTACATTCTAGCATGTTTTTGCTAAATTCTCTGAAACACAATTTGCGACCAGTGACTGGTTTGGCTTGTCTTTGCCACATATAATGATTAAAATCTGTTTTTACCTGGAAATACCAAGTTCTGCTTGGAAGATTTCTTCATTCTGTAGCATAGTTTTGTAGTTTGCCATGTAAAAATTTGTATCACGGTATTTCTTAGCCATGGCTGCTGCCCATCTTCTTGCTGGGTTCCTTTTAGGATTAAAGTCCACAGCATACAGCCACACAACAACTATATTATCAGCTTTGGTTGTACTGTTGATTAAGTGGTATTTTCTCCTAGCCTCAGAGTTCAACATCCGAGGAAAATTACGGTGCCCTATGATTCGGAAAGTAGTTTTTCTACCAACATCGTCCTCGTAGCCGTCTATCGGGGCTGCATTCATACGTATTACGCATGATGCTTCATCTATCTCCTTACCTGCCCCTTCTCCTTTTAACCGTCCTGAGCTGGTTACAAATGAACATTCAGAACAATGAAGAGACAGTGGCTGAGAAAAAGACCATACTATATTATTTGTAATCATGTTACATGTCTTTGACATTTGATGGAGAACATAAATGTGAGGTCTCACCACGAAATGAGACGCATCGTTGGTGAAATCATATTGAGATACTCACCAAAATAGGTCAAAGTCAACATTTTACAAAATTTTGATTTCAATGTTTTTGAATAACTTGATACTTGTATTTTATGATTGTATACTTTGTAAGTGAATTTTCTTGCCAAAACAGTGTTCTCTGCACATATTCTGTAATTCTAGTCATATTACTTGTACAGGTTAGTTTATCTTTGAGGCTGATTTTCTCAAAACGTGGTTCTTATACACCTAAACTTTAAATGCTCATGTAGTGTCTGGACTACAAGACTAGCATACCTCGTGTGTTGTTCGGACATGTTGTTAAATCAGGACTGGTGGATGAATAAACAACGAATGGCTATTGTAGAGCTGGAATATTGCTGTCTCTTATACACATCTAGATGTGTATAAGAGACAGGTTAGTGGTCGACCATTATTATTATTAGCTTTGTACTATACACCATAATAAAGTCACATTTATTTATTTATTGAACAAATTAATTAATTCATATTTTAATTCAACATCATCATCTAGTGTTTGTCATCATCACCATCATTTTCAGTGGCGTACTTACGAGAGGGCGTATGCCCCTCCAAGAAAAGACTGCATTCCAATGTGCCTTCCCCACAATGGAAATTTGTTGAAATATAACAACGCTTAAGTAAACAACAACCCCCATATCAGCCCCTTAATCAATTATCAAGCCCTCCACTTAACCTTGAGCACTCCCCACATCATCGTCTACATGTCAATTCTAGTACGCCACTGCTCACCTTAACTTTTCATTCATTACCTCTAAGCCTGGCAAAGCAACGTATCCACTCTGCTCCTCATTAGTTACCATGGCATCAGTGGCCTGACTTGCATTAACATAATCAAGTTGATTCAGTGAATCGACAGTCAGTTGCTTCACAAACAAATGTTGACTATGAAGACATCGACCGTCGTTACATGGGACGGCAACTTGAGATGAGTAAATTGTTACAGATAGAAGTACAACAACACAGAGAGAGCCATATAACGTCACCACAAGCAACATGCCATTTAAGGTCTAATAATATAATTGTAGAAAAGTAACAAAAAAATAATAAAGTATATTTCAAAATTTGTTAATTATCTACATACAACAGCAAGTGACTCTGTACCCACGGTTGTTGACTGATGTGATTTAATTCAACGATGGATTTTTTGGCCAAAGGTCAGCCAGCGCAGTGCATGCTTGGCTTTCCTGGATGGAAGATACCCTAGTGCATGCATTACACCAAGTCTCAAATGTTAAAATTTATATACCAACTCAACAACAACAAAACAATTTAATAATAGAAAGATGTGTTTAACCTTAAATTAAAACAATAGTGTAAATTAATAGAAATATTAATATTTATTATTAAAATAAAACATTTAAACTAGTACAAAAAACAAAACTGAAGAAAGACTTTCTGTTAGTTCCATTTATTGTCAAACAATAAATGTTTCTAGTTTTGTACATTATTAATACACGATATCTAGAAGTGGAAAGTAAATCATAGCAAGGGTGTAGGCTGGTTTAGGCCTAGGGGCAGTGCCGGCACCAGCAGGCGCCAGGTGGCTTAAGTCAAGCCCCCCACCGGCCGAACTCATCGGGCAGTTGGACCAAAACAAAATTGGAAAATAGGCCTACACCAAGCCAAAACATGTCTTTTTCACAGTCGAAGAGTGCCATTTCCGGCCAATCAGAAGTACCTATTTAAAAAAAACCTTATTTGGGAGGGGGACACACCAAACCCTCCCCTGTTGGACAGCTTAGCCCCACCCCCAACAGAAAACGTACCCTAGAGCCCCCACTGCCTAGTGGGTGTCAACAAAGAGTATGTGGAACTCCCTATTCCAATGTAAACTTAATGATAATTAGTATTTTAACCCACTTAACTGCATCTACCCTCCCAAGATGAGACCTACCTTTGGTAAATATGCAGCCAAATTCATATCTGAACAAAAATGTAGAAACAAAAAATAAGGTTATGACATACAGATTATTGTAAACAAAATAATTAAAAAAAAACATTTTATTCAATTTATTGAACATTAAAATACAAATATTACTCATATTATGTGTTGTATTGGCATACCATAGAGTGTGACTTCAATTGCCTCCAATCAGATTAAAACTTCCAATGAAAGACTCAATGGCCCAGGTGGTCCTCTGTATACAGAGCAGGTCCAGGTTTTAATTGGCAATTTTGTTCACATACTGCAGATTTCTCTTTTTGGCCATTCATAATTTATATAATTATACAGTATAGGCAATTTGAATGCATGACAAGGAATTAAATTATAAGAAATTAAAGCATTACCAGTATATTTTTCAAATAGATGAATAATATTAAGAGTATGACATTATCTCATGTATCATCACAATAGACCTATTATAAAGGTATATTATCTTTGTCCTCCATGACTGTTTATGATATGTGATAGAGGATATGATGCAAATCCTGAATCTATTTCTTTCTTTTCGTGTGATTTGTGTTTCATGCTGTGGAGAAATGCAGTGGAAGAGGGGAAAGCAATTGGCCCCTCCACTTTTTCTATTGGGGGGGCCTGGCCCCCCCAACCTTTGTGACTCCAACCAGCACCAGTGAAAACTATTGTTAACGAACGCTATACAATGTCATTATTATCATTATATTTTTTTTGTTGGTGCTTAGAGACCTTGTTTATTTTTGCCTTAAATCGACCTATTATTATAATACAATATAGATTTTTTTTTCCATTTTCAAACAAACATTACAAGTTTTCTTTTCGAGTTGGGCAACCAGTGTGTACCATATTGATTAAAGTATATAAAACGCATGTCTCGAGCATGAAGAACAATGAAATTGCTCAGCCGCCTTGCGTAAATTTTGTATATAGGCACAGTAATAAAAAACAATAAGATACTTAATTAGGCCATTTATTAAAATAAAGTTCTCTGAAGTTGAACTACAGAATTTATAGTACATTATATAATAAAAACTGTAGTAAAAAAGCTTTTCGTTTGACATTACAAATTAGTCATTTGTGAAACAAAATGATAGGCTAGGTCAAATGTTATATTAAACAGAGGCAGAGTCCAACCGACACGAGCCCCCACCCTCCTAAATTTTTCAAAATTATTTAAAAAGATGGAGAAAACAGAAAATTATATTCAAATTTAAATCTGAGAGTGCCATTTCCAGCCATCTAGAGGTTCTATAATCATAATTTTTCATTACCTCAGCCCCAACCATGGTGGGGCTGAGCAGGGTTGCCAGATAGTCAACAGGTTTCACGGCCAAACACACGCCATCTCACGGCCAAATTCTGCCAAACTTTTTGTCGATATCGGCCAAAATTCAGCCAGATTTTAATCCGATTAGAAGACAACAGGTGGATACATAATATTCATTTAAGAAATTAAAATGAATCGATATACACAGAACAATCTGTGTTAATCTTTCACTGTTTTTGTTCTTATAATTTATCACCATAAATTAAATGCCCATGCTACCTCATAATACATGTACCGTAACAGCTCGCCCTCCAATTCGAGACCACATTTGGGACCTGAAAATTTGGGGTGGTTTAGGGGTTCGGTCTCCACAGAGACAGAGTTAGCATAGAGTTAATAGCTATTGAAGATTGTTAATTGATTGTCTTCGAAAAAGTGGTCTCGAATTAGAGGTCTCAAATTGGAGGGTGCTCTGTATATTAAATATGTTCTTTAATCAGTTGCTAGCATGTAGGCCTATTTAAAATCACATTATTGATCTAAATTTTATTTAAATGTAATAAATAAGGTACACTGTAGGCGATCTATAGCAATAAATTTAATGGCCTGTTTATCGAATCTTCTTAATATATATATAATCTAATTATAATGGAAGTTACATTAGATAAGTAAAACAAACGAATAAAAACTTTAATAACTACTTTTGATCTAAACTTTGTAAATTCGCCTCTGAATGTTATAGTTGCATTACTTAAAACAATAAATCAATGTCGCTATCACTGAATCATCATCTTCATGATTCTCATGTACACCTATCTCCAGAGAAACTTCAAAGAAGTCTGCAATTCACTTGCTTGAAATTGGAGGTGCCATCGGATCCAAATGATCACATCGAGCATTTATATGGTGCTTATAAAAAACCCTGAAGCACCTATACAATTCAAGTGGGTAATAATAAATTAATTAAAGTATTTAATTTATTTTATTTTATTCAATTCTCAACCAAAAGAGATAGAAACCTCCACTAGCTTGGAACTATACAAAGACACACAATATGTGGTATAAACTTGCATTGAACTGTCTTGAAGCTTAAATGAAAAAATATATATTTCATCCGAACAATTTAAATTATTAAATGTAGGCCTAATTGCTAATCTTTTAAATAAAATCTCTTACGTCAACTCAGCCAAAGAGGGAACATAGATTAGTGTTTAGTGCGAGTACAACTAGGAACGTCCAATGTAAAGAAAAGTACACGATTAGAATCAAATATAGAATTTACATAAGCTTTTGTACAAAAACAACATATCCAAATCAAGTCTACGTCTATATTAGGCCTATATTGAAATACTTTTCAGAAATTCGGCCAAATATAGTTTATCCGTGACTTTTCAAACATTACGTCCAGGCAAATTTTTATACGGCCAGATTTGAGGAATCTGGATGCCAAAAAGGCCAAATGGCAACCCTGGGGCTGAGGCAGGTGGACACTATCTATCTGTGCAAGTCCCTGCCTGGGCCTCCTTTATTTCGACTTCTTAGACTCAAGTACCATTTCCTGGCTCCTAGAAAGGTAATATTTATAAGTCGGGGGAAAAAAAGAAGGTATCGTAAGGGAGTACCATGTCAAGGATACCTCCCACATAATAAATAATTCATATTGTTACAGACATAGCTTGATGCCTATAAAATAAAAAATTAAATTAAACAATTCATCAAATATATCCGTAGCCCCTACCAGGTTTCCCTGGCAGCCCCCCCCCCCCAGCCTAGGGGCCCTGGCCCTAAACCTAGATGCTCGCTTCGCTCACATACTCAATTTATTACCTTTTGAAATTCCCCCCACTTTCAAGAACGTTCTATGGATATGCAATTCCGAAATAAAAGTTAAATTGAATTGAATTGCTTTATCTCTCTATATTATTATTCTGTACACTGTGTTGCAACTGAGCAATATGATAGTTTGTAAATGTTATTATTCATTCAGAATATGAGGTAGTTTGATTAATTTGACATAGGAGCTGCCACAAAATCAACACTTCAGGAGATTGATGAGAAACATATCTCATTTCTATGGCTAAATGTTAACCTAATTCACCATTCACAATGAACTCCTATCACACCTTTTTATATTCAATAAATATATGTGGTATACCTTTTCTGAATCTGAGTTAAATCAACTTCAAAAATATATAGTTTAATATGTGTTGCTTTACTGTGGGACTATTCTGTGTTTTGTTAAATACTTTTAAGTAAAAATTTAATTTATGAAAAAAAAACCTCACCAATGGACTGAGATAAATAATATTTCTCTTACACAATGGTGTATCTTGGACTGAGGAGCCTTGAAATAAAATAGGGGCTCGATAATTAAGTGAGGGGTAAGATAGATTGCAAAATCTGTTTTCCGCCCAGTTCCCCCCCCCCCAATCACTTAAATGAAGTTGACGCAGGGCATTCGCTTATCCATGCGCTTATCACGATCAATACTGTAATATATTGATGTCACTGGACGTACTGTAGAGCAACCATAAGGAAAAGGTTGTGTACATGATGAAGATCATGGATGAGAATTGTTCTAAATAAAGAAGAAAAGCCTGAAAACGTCTCCAGTATTGGTTTATTCAGTAACATTGCAGAGACAACTCCAAGAACTGACACCTCGCAGCGGTGGAATTGCTTGTGTTCCTCAAAGACCGAATAAGCATTGCCGGCGGCACACACAAGACAAGCGGATATTTTCATGGTGGTATTGGACATATAATATTTTTTTTTTAATATTTAAACTTTTAATTTGACAATTTCTTTGAAAGGTACGTAAGATACATAAATGCATATATTACAATTTAAATGTTTGATGGTATGCGTACATAAGGGTACAATAGGCTAATTCGGCAATCCCTCCCTCTCAGCCGTCATGGGCTAGGCCTAACCGGGTCCCGACACTCGGTGAAATGCCTGAATTGAAGAAACACACTAAATCCATAGTACAGGCACAGTTTACACACATTTATAAGCACATATATGTTCTGAAATCATTTAATCAAAATGTATTTTTTTGTGTACCTAGTAAGTCACGTTCAGAATCAGAGAATAAGTACATACAGTCCAATTGACATATTTTCATATTAATTACTGCTTTTTGAGCAATTGAATGTTGGAAATCAGCTATTAAAATACACTTTTCTCTAATATTCATGAACACATTGACAGGTAATATACTGAAAGATTACAGACTTAGCTAAACCTGTTTGTACCTATATTAAACATCTTTATGGATTACATGATTATAAATATGAAATACTGCCTTAAATAACGACCTAGTTTAGGCTTACATTGTGGCCTAGCCATTATAGGCCTACGGGCAGGCCGTTTCGGCTGCAAACAAGTTCGGCTACGATGTCAGGCAAGCCTATTCGGTAGTTCTTTTCATTGACATGGCTCAGTGATTATAAACTGAGCATGCGCATGTAAGCATTCGCTTGGATGCAACAGTGTTTGGTTGACTGGATTTGCATATCAAAAGCATGCACACTCAACGAATTGCCGGAATGGAAGAACAAAGGAAATTCTCAGGTCGTTTCCAATCTCCTTGTATATGTCTCTGTCTTAAATTGCATCTCTGGTCTGCTATGAGAAAACATATTGCCCCCTCCCCC